AAGAATCCAGGGCGTCATTCCACCCTGCGAGATACGGAGGCCTATCACGCGTTTTTCGGACTGCGAGATGAAAGAGCGCACGCCGCCGGAAACGTTAATAAGATACACGCGAGTGGAAGTTTTGCTCGAGTTGCCGATCGACTACTTTCGTCGGAGTTTGCGGGAACTTATTACTATCGGAGCGCGCGTACTCACTTATCGTGCCAGACGTATTGCGCCGCCAACGATAGGCAGAAGAGGAGGGGAAGGGCTGCAAGGAGATGGAGCGGGGCACGGGGGATGTTAAAGAAAGGTCGGATAAATCTCAGTAGAAAGAACGGATAAATCGCGCCCGTCCACTAAGCACCCACCTATCCGCAATAAGGGAACACCACCCCTCCACCCCACGTGTAAGCCAGCTAGTATTCCGAACCACCCTTATCTTCACGCGTGAGCGCGAAATCCGCCGCGAGAAGAATATGAAGAGACGTGCGAGAAAATGTAAAAAAAAAATGAAAAGTTAACGGATAGTATGACGTGTGTAAATAAAAGATTCCCATCTCGGGGAGCGGGATGCGCCCCGCCGTACCGGTGGAATTAAAGTGAGGGGTAGATCGACCGATAGAAGGAGGAGATGGGAATTGTTCAGCACACTCGCCTGTCTGTGACTGGCTCTTTTCTTGACTACACTATCGTTTTTCTAGTCACACTTTGGACACCGTCTAATCTGCCAAGCAAGCTGTAGCGTGTTCCATACGTTACTTCAGAATAGTTCAATATAGAATATATATACTGAATATATAGGATGTTCAAGAAAAGGATTCAAGACTTACAGAGCAGATAGTACTTATTGTACTGAGAAAAAATGTTTAGTAAACATAGATCGAGAGAGAGCCTTTAAGAATTATAAATATTTTCCAGTTTGTTAACGCAGGTTATTTTTGTATTAAACATTTTTCATTCAGTATAATGAGTATTTACCTTGTAGGTCTTGGACCTTTTTTATAAATACCCTGTATACATATATTCGTTGAAAATTTTCGTCATAAAAAATTGTCATAATTTTCGTAATTTTCGTAATTTCGGAAATATTTGTATTTAAAAACCAAGATAATAAGAATATCTAAAGTAAGATACTAATGTTTTTAATATCCAGGCATTTTACTTTTATTTTACATATGGTAAATCTCAAAGAGCCAATTAAAAGTCGACCACCAGTTTTCAAACTCTGACTAAAGGAACTCTAGGCTATACGAATCCAACACGGCATTTCTTTCGAAAAATTCGAAAGAGAAAAAATGAAACTTCTCGATTAATCAGCTCATGGCTTGCTAAAACCTTCGTCCTTGAAGGAAATACCGAACAGCTCCTTTCTTTGGAATAGTTTCCATGGAATAGCTCGCGGCTGTACGGATATTAGAGAAGTTTGGAAGAATATAGCAAAAATTCCTTTTCCATTCGTTGTATATTAAACTTACTCCCTGCGGCTGATTGATTTTGATCTGGCATTTCGGATTTCATATCATCGCAGAGTATTTAGACAAACACGGTATTGTTGAATTTAATGCGAAGGAGGAATGGGGTGAAGGATACGTGCGACATTTTTCTGTATGCTATTCGCGAAGCTGTGGAACGATACCAACTGCGAGGAAAACACGCATGAATGGATTAAGCTCGGTTTATGCCACGCACGAAATCTTCGCTGAAGCGCGACGCGCGATAAAATCCGCCTGGTTAGTTTCTGGGATGCGCCGTTCCCGATTCGATTCTATCCCCAGTCGGCAGAAGAATTAAAGAGACGATAGAAAAGTCTCGCGAGAAATGGCGGAAGAGTCGCGCACGTTCTGAGCGTTTATACGTCCGCAATAAGGTGTGCCAGCCTCTCGCTTTCTCTCCGCTTTTCTCGCTCCCTCTCATAAGTTCGATTTATCGCGGACGCGCGCACCCGCGCGCTGGCGAGAACTTCCGCCTAGCACAAAGGGTGGCGCGGGAAAAAATAGTTTCGAGTTCCAAAAAGGAAGAGGTCAGGAAGGGAAGGAGAAAAAATTGGAAGTTCTACGCGACGAGGAAGATTCGAAGCGGGATTATAAAATGGGTGGATAAATCTCGTGAGAAATAGCGGATGAATCGCCCTCGTCCACTAAGCACACCTATTTGCAATGAGAACCTGTATCTTTTGAGGACTCGCTTACTCGTGTCCCAAACGCGATTTATCCCGCGCGTGAAATTCCTTTCGCAATATGAAGTGCACGGAAAAATTGTCCGATGCGTATGAGTAAAGACAGTTCCACCCGAACGAACGAATTTTCCCCTTTGGACTTCCTGCGGTTGAGAAGTTTACCGTCAAGATAACGGCAAGAAAGTGTGTTGATACCTGTACATGTATATAGATAAAGCAAGAAAAAGAGAGGCAGCGAGGTGACGCAAATGAAGTAATGCGTATGTCCAGAGTGCATTATCACCTCGTGGCATTTGTGACATTTCGCGACAGCTTTTCACGCGGCGACATTCACTTTATTCTCTCGGCTGTATGATAGTGATGCGTGGAGTAAAGGCGCGTGACGTTACGCGTTGTGTTTAATAAAATGATATTGGTCATCCTTAGTCGCGATGTTTTGACACGTAGTTTATGCGATTTGACGCAGTAGTAATACACGCGTTACATTTTCAGATGCCATTGTACGTACCATAACTGTTGCAATCATGATTTTCACAATAATTTGTAAAATCACGATACCTTTCAAGCCCAGTTTTGTAACGTGCCTGTAAATCGTGATAATCAACCATTGTTATAATCAACCATCACATGACAAATATGTTTTAAATATCCTAATCTAGCATACTGGAATCGTTATTCACCTCAATTATTAATATTCCGTAAAACTAATAAAAAAAAAATAATAATTATATTTTCAAGTCTGTAGAACAGAATTATGTACAGAAATGATAACAATATTCACTTAGATATCGCAAATATAATATAATAAGGGAAATATGATCAAAATATGATCAAATATAAGTTTACATGAAAATTGGTAACTATTTTGAAAACGAATTTAGGAAATCAACAATCTAGTATTCTTTTGTTTCAATACTTGAACTTTAAAAGAAATTACATATTTGTCAAAGAAATTGGTCAAAAAGTATAATTATTTAGATTTACGGAAATGCATTATTTTTTCACCCAAGAAACGAATAAAATCATTGATAATTTCAAGTTTTGCGATATATTAATCTAGCATAATGAGAATTTTTTTATTATTACACATTATTATTACAATTATTACAATTATTAAATATTACAATTATTAAATATATTAAATATTAGTTATATCTGAATCCTCTCTTTAGATTAGAGTTTGACGATACTTGATCACGTATAACATATCCAAAAATAAATAAGCTGCTTACAGAAAACTTTTTTTCTATATTATAAATATAAAGAATTGAAATATAATGAACAATCATCTTTATTTTACTTTGACATTTTTCTTTGACATTTATTAATTTGGTGTGTACTGGGGTTATAAGCAACCCTACAGCAACTTTGTATTTTTTGTTATATGACAGGCAATTGAAATGGTTTAACTGTGTTTAAACTTTATATTCTCACTAATTATAACTTTTTTAGCGAATAAACTAAAAATTGCCCACTTCATAAGTTTGAGGGTAACTTAAAATTAAAAATCGGGTGAAAATGACCCCAGTGTATTGAGACAATATTGAGACGATATACGCAGAAGTTGGGATATTTTCTCATAAAAATAAAACACGAAAGAAGAAATTTCGCAACTTCTCTCCTGCTTTGTTACGAAACACGCAATTAATCGATCATAAGAACCAGACGAAAAACGATGACAGCAAGAAATTCATTTCCGATATAGATGTGTTTTCCTGTCGCGCGAAAACTTCGAGTCGGTCATTTAGCCTCGTAAAAAGAATTTTTTAGCGATTTACTCACCGCTACATTCACCGAAACTTTGTGGAAATACCTGAGCACGTCGGCAATAGATTGCAAACTAAGTAATACTTTAGCACGATTGTACTTGTATATATGTCGGGAATATATATCGATTTACTAAATAAAATAGAAAAAAGGGAGAGTACAATAAGAGAGTTACCGTATACATAGGACAACGACATTGAACGAGGTAATATAACCGACGTATCGACTAACACTATCGATCTGTCGCCTCCTAGCCCCATCCTCTCCCTCGTTCTCCCACAAGCACCCCCACCTGAATTTTCGACTTATTCCCGGCAGCGATGCGAAAAGCGGAATCTTCGGAGGAAGTCGGAAAGAAAAGCCCGCGGATGAGAGGAGGAAAAAAACGCGTCGACACCTTCTTGCACGTCTTTTTCGACGACGAGCGTGTCGGCGGCCAACGTACCACTCGTAATAAACGATAAAGGGAAATAAAAGTGGCTCCGCCCAACGAAGAAGAGAAACCGATGCGACTGACGACGAAAGAGGGACGGATGTAGCGTGACGAGACAGAGAGAGAGAGAGGGAGGGGGAGAGAAATAGAAAGAGAGACAAGACAAGCGCGTTGGCGTGTGTACGAGTCCGTTTCCAGCGACACGATGTGCTTCCCTATGTTTTTTGTTTTAATTTCCTAGAGGCCACCGGCTCCATCTCGTTCCCCCTTCTTCTTTTTTCTTTCTTTCTTTTTTTTTACCCTTTTCGCTCTCCCCCTCACGTATCCCCCCTGACTCAACTCCCGCCAGTGCTTTCTCTCTCCCTCGTCCCTCGTGGGAGCTCCGCGAAATGTACCACGGTGGTTTTCAGCACTGTGGATGCTGCTAGGTATATATCCTCATCCTCCCCTATCCCCCCCTACCCTCACTCACCCACGGCTTCTCTCCATCCTCCCACGCCATGTCCGCCGTCCCCACCGCGCCCTGTCTCGCTCCTTTCCCTCCTTCTCGTTTATCCCTTCCCTACAGCACTCTCTCTCTCACGCCGCCACCCCTCCGACGGAGTAAAGGGCTGAACCGGCCAGTGCAATTCCCGACGAGATCGGCGTCGAACCCGCGCTGTATCAGCCGGTGATCGCGCGTCAACTTTCGACGCTTCCGTCGCGCACGTCGTCGCGACATCGTTCTCTCTTTTTTTCTTGGTTCATCTCCGTTTCAACGTGCCGAAAACGATCGTCTCTATTTCTCACTTTTTTCTCGCCCTCGACGACGACAACGACGACTACGTATCGTCTTTGCTTTAATGAAAGCAACGCAGTGACAATGTCTCTCGCTAGCCGAGACGTGAACGGGACGTCGATCGGGCATCGGATTTAAAGGGACGGGATTTAAAGGAACGGGTGGGGACCACAAGGAGGAAACGACGCGGACGATAAACCGGCATGGACGGCGAGTGATACGGGTGCGCGGGGGTGGAAGACTCAGCTACGTGGATACACAGATAGAGAGACTCTCGGGGAGACCGGACAGGATTAATCGTCGCGATGTCAACACCGTGCGATGTCCGACGCGGCGCGCGGAGCCGCGATCCAGCGATCCGATCCAGTGACGTCGCGCCGCGACACGTAAGTCCGTCACACCGAGACGAGACGAGACGCGTGTAGAGGATCCACGGTAAAGCCGATGGGCGCGTTATACTTATTGATCGGATCCCGATCTTGGATCGCAGGCTTGGATCCTGACGGATGGTTTCCTCCCTTCCTTCGGCTGGAGGTTATTTTCGGCGCCCGCTTGATGGACGGGGTTACCCTTGCGCGCGCGGGGCGTCGTTATCGCGCGACGGCATCCGAGATTTCCCGCGGCGGAATTTTCACGGCAATTCCATTCTCGACGTTCTCGCTAATTGAACATGCCCTTGGCATCGAGCGATCGGCCAAATCCGCTTAACTCGCGCGAATCCCGGATTTGGTCCTTTTCTTTCTTTCCTTCTTTCTTCCTGTCTCCCTCGTTTCCTTTTTTCCTTTTTGCGCGGAGCCCTTATGAGGCTTGGCCGCGAGCGCGGACACGCTCACCTCCAGCTAGATTAATTAGTCCCTTAGCATGTGCGTCGCGCGTGAATTATTCCGCAAAAGTACCAGGCGTGTCCAACGAGTTCTGGGACAGAATAAATGAAACGGAGTGCCGGGGAGGACAACGAGCGCAGATTGATATTGGCACGAATGCCAATCAATTGTTTCGAAATCAATTTTCGCCGAGTCCGAATTACATTTGACCAATTGTCAAACAATATTTGTCGCCTTTCTGTTAAATCAATCTCCAGGAAAACACGAAATAGTTTGTTTAATTTCGCTTTAGCGTTGTTTAATTTCCGCGTTGCGATACATCGAGTGCTATCGTGCGAGTGACTACCGTCCCCACGTTGCTTATCCTGTAAAAAAAGAGCCTCTGTCTAAAAGCATTCTTCATGCTCACACACGGCCTGGATTTTGCGGACACCTTTTATGGATGAGAGCCTGAAATGAAACCTCCGCCCCTCTTCCAAAAAAAGAGTACATTGACGTATCAAATTTGGCGTTATTAAAGCGACGTGAAGAGAACAGTAATATTTTTCATATTTACCCACATGGATGAGCTGAGTCGTATAAATGTGAGCTATAATTGAGAATAAACGTAATTTTGATAAAAAGAATTGTTCACGTTGATACGAGAGTGCGGCGAAAGGTCACGAAAGCTATTTAACAGACTATAAATTAATTTTCGTAAATTAGCGGCGGGCACAAAATTGTTCACCTGATATAAATAAATGTAACGTATTTTAAATAACAAACGAAATATTAACACGCATTAATCCTGTTTTTCCGATATAAAAATGGAATTTTCAGTATCAATTAATTACAATAATAATCAAACATAAAATTACATGCGTAATCCTCTTAGCAGAAATACGTGTTCCAAAATATTTTCACAGTGATTAAAACATCGTCGGGCACAGTTAATTATTGATCACACATATGATTATTACATGTGTTCGCTGTATTTTGCGTGTTTATTTATTTTTGAATAACATAGATAATTATTAACGAATAGATCATTCAGTCGGTGTGTTTCGTCGAATCATAAAACGCGAGAAGCGTTACGTTCGGGAAATAAAAATTTTCTCAGCTCCTAATACCGGTTGTAATCGATAGTTGCGCATTCCTTCATGGGAAGATTTTCGATGTCTCACCCGGCAAGTCCCGAAACTTTTATTGGACACACCTTGTAAACTCTCCGACATGGGCGTTCGTCCTTGCGATACGTTAGTGTGCCAGCAGTATCTGGGACGGATTGCGGCCGATCACTGGGGTGTATTAATTGAATCCTGGGTTAAGACGGGACTTTTCCTCAATCTGCACGAACAGGCGATCTGATTTCTTCCAGCGACATTTCGCGTCATTTCTCCGCGGCAAATTGAAGTACGCATGACGGACTCGAATCTTCTTTGGATTCGTTATTCAGTCTCGCGTGAAATTTTTTGATATCATCGCAACTTTAATTCAACGTCTGGATATTCTCAATCTGAGAAGTTCAATAGTCGAGGAAACGAGACCATATATTTCCGCAAAGGGGGCATCAAAGAGCCAGCTGTTGAACAAGTCCACATATACACGGAAAAGTGCGCGCGATGAGTCTTATGCGTACTCTGTACACAATATGCAAATATAAACGTTACATGCGAAGAAAAAGAAGAGGCAACTCGTTCCAGCGCGCAAAAAGAGAAAGAGAGACGCGACTTTTAAAATCGCAATATCGCAATGTGTTGCGTCGCGTTCTCGTGCTCCTCTTCCTCGTCGTGATGAGTTCTAGCTGATCGTTCGGGCGTATTAATTGAATCCCGTCGCGAATCCGAATCAGCCCGATATCGTTAATTCAGGACGTACTTGGGTGCGCCGCGGAAAATATTCAGCTCGCTTCTCTCCGATTCTCCGCTTGTTATATCATTCACGTGAGCTTTTAATTGCGTATGTCTGTCTTCGTAACATCGCTACGGACACGAATTTCAGCCGTTCGTTGAGGTGAACTAATAAGATTTCGTCATAGATTAGGATGGACTGGATCGCATTAATTCACGTGAACTTGTAAGCTCTGAAAGATGCTGCCGCATTTTCCGCCTTTTCTACGCTTAAATTTTCATTAGAATTTATGGGGAATGTCTTGCAAACGTATTTGTCGAGCAGCTCGTTTGTGTTTCTCGGACTAACTTCGTTTTTCGATATTTATTCGCCTACTTCTCTCTCTTATTTCCTCTTATTTCATTTTCTCTTTTTCTTTTCATTATACCATTACATGTTTCTCTGTAAAGAATTCCGCATTATATAGGATATTTTGTGCTTTTATATACGATCACTTTAGCGAAAACTCGAGGAAATTAATATTTGACCGTTAGAATTTGACAATCAATAATTGATGATTTTGTTTGTAATTAAATTAGCCGAATCACTGCTTATCAATGCTAATCGAATTGTGCGTATAATGTTACACTTTTGCTTCTCCACAAAGAGAATATTTTATGCACAATTAAATTTCTATATATTTGCATGAATTGCAAACGAATTCCATGCGATACTACCATTTGCGCATTGTGAGCTCGTGTATTCTATGTTAAGTAATGTAACATACTCAATCATTCACGTATTTATGAATGTTAATTAAAACGTTATTTTAAACAATATTCTAGTTGGGCGTTTCAATGGGAGCGGCGAAAACGGTTTGTTTTCCGTATTAAGCACATTTTCAACTCACGGAAAATCTTTGGCCGCAACGCGCGCGCGTTCCGCATTTCCTCCTGGAAATATGACCGTCGCGAACTCGTGACATGGTATTGCACACACTCCACTGACGAATTATTTTTCTCTTCCATAAAAGTTGCACGTAAGTTCTCCCGAGGGTTACGTAAATTTTTCTACGTCGCCGAGTCACGTCGTCACACCGCGTTAGGTCGTTAATAATTACCCCCGTGGATTTGAGCTGATCCTTAGGGCGCGCGCGGCATCCTATATTTCAACGCGTTAATAATTCCGGCGAATCAGGGCGAAATTGACGTCGCCTTTATTTTCCCCTCACTTTCTTCTGCCCGCTGCACAACGATGTCGTGTTTGCTGTGCGCGGCTATACACGCGGATTATTCCGTCTTTGCGTACATAAAGCATATAGCATTTCTCTGAGTGGTATATATCCGTAGTTAGCCTCCCTTCTAATTGCATTCTCTCTGTATACTTAGCCGGCTTTTTCTTAAGTGAGATTAAACAGCGTCGGATTCGCATGTTCATAGTGATATACAGAAAGCTAATACGTCTAGTGAGCCACGGTGCAATATGCAGCAAACTCGTGGTAGAACAGGCCGTAGCTTATAGTACAATGGAGAAGGAAATGCTTTGAAATACGAAAATGAAGTTTTACGAGTCGAGTATTGTTTTAACGCGGTATTGCTAAATTGACTGAGTTTGCATCGACGTCGGAGCAGCTATCTACCTGATAAATTTTTCACGATATTTTCAATGCGAAAGTCAAGCCTTTGTCAGTAAAACTCCGTTTATACATTTCTCATTCGATTCTTGCAGTAAACTGTTTCCTCCTTGGCAGTGCCATGACTCTCAGCTTATCCTATGTACACGTCCTGCAGTGTGTAGCGCGACTATATCTACATTAGGATGCAGCAATGGCTACAGTCATTACATGCACAGTCGGACAGTATATTCACGAAGTTTGGTCGACATAATGGGCTGAGATATGCTAATATTTATCGTGAGAGAGAATCTGATTTCTATTCACGAAGTGTCCAATGTACTTCGGTAGAGGTCAGATTTAGTATGTTGCTTCCGAGTATATATTTTCTTAACATCTGATAAATCTAAAAGATACGTCCTCGTAACGTTATTGAAATGAACTCAACCGCGAGAAGCTAATTTTTATCTTGCACTAAGGTTACTGGATACTTGTTCTGGTTATGTTAGATTGTGACGTCAGAAGTGAGGAATGACACGCTGAAAATTCTTGCGTTCTATTAAAAAAAAAAAGAAGATATTTGAGTGATGAGAATGATTAGATTTTTTCTCTTTCAATTGTCCTTTTTCTTGGTAGTCAAGAAATAGTCGTAAAATTAACGTTACATGCAACTTTCTTTTTTAACTTTCACCTTCATGACTTTGTCATGTTAATTTTACAGTTATTTACCGACTATCAAGTGAAAAGGGTACTTTTCGAAGCATTTTGCAAGTACATACGCAACACTTGATCTCAAGTATTCTTTCACACAATCTCTTTTTATTTGAAAATGGCACGCAAGAATTTTGGGCATGCGTTTTCTCGCTTTTGACGTCATCAGTCAAGAATTCCGCGTCGAAATATCAGGAATTTTAACATTCGTGCGTATGTCGAAAATTTACATGTGTATGCATATACATTTTTTAATTATGTAGAGAGTGTTCGACAATTCGGCACGTGATATAAAGGATGTTTACGGATTCCACCGACAAACTGATAGGATGTATTCGTGGTCAATAGAGGATCAATTTTTCATTATGTTTATTTGGTTAGATCTGCCTCGCTACGGAGATATCGGGCGTGAAAGTCAGTGCAATCATGA